GCCCCCTTGACGGCCCTGATGTCGATGGGCGATACTGTTGATTGCGTTGAGTTGGTGACCGTAGCTGTCTATAACGCTTCATACGCGCATTCCTCGGATTTTCTCGCTACCCCCCGTGGTTCCTACCGTGTGTTTGTAAACGGTCGATCTTTGTTTTCTCTTCCTTGTTCGAGTTGTTATTCTCTTCTTCGGCTTCAACCTTGAATTTGTCTGCCGTTTTTTGTGCTTCTTCGATGGTTGTTGCTGTTCCAATCGCTGAGTCAACCGTGAGCGCCGTCATTCGGAATAGGGCAATTTTAATATCCTTATTCCGGATTCCGCTAAGCAGTTGGTCATTTATTGCTTCATCTTCTGATGCAAATTTACATTCGGTCGCTAGGTTCCGTAGTATGGCCACGTATTGTGCCACTGATTCCTTCTCCGCTTGTATCCGTTCCCGGAACCTCGATCGAAGCACTGTCACATTGGCTTTTGGTTTTATGTATTCGTTTACCTTTTTTATGATTTCCGCTAGCGTTACGTCTTTCGGTTTAGCTGGTGCGCATACCTTATCCATACTACCGCGTAGGCCTCTGCGTCGATTTTTGTTAGAAAGATCGCCCTTTGTTTATTTGCATCTGTTATGCCTTTTGCTTCGAAATAGAACTCTACCCATTTTACGAATTGTTCCCAATCGTCAACTTCAATTTTGAAATCGAGTTGCGTTGAGTATTCCATTTCCGGCTCGTCTTCGGTTTCGTCTTTGGTTTCGTCTTCGTTCGATTTTTCTTCCTCGTTGGCCTCTTGTTCGGTCTGTACCGCTATTCTCAATATTCGGCGCAGTTCGTCTAACTTGCTGACTTCGTTCGCCGGAATTCCTCTGCTCCGCAGCTCCCTAAATACTTCTTCCTTACGTAGCTTATGTATCCAGACCAGTCCGCTTTTCGTCTCGTCCGATTCCGCTATTCACCCTTACACGCGTCTGCGATTATAATGATTTTAGCCTCGTCGCCATCTGCTCTGTATCTTCCTCGTTCAAGCGGGGGAAGGTATCGATCGAGATCGGGTGTGGGCTAGAGTATTTATTTGACTGACTGACTCGTTACATCGAAGTGCCGGCGTTGCTCCGGCTCTCCCCACTCTCTGCACTCTCCCATCCGTGCTCTCACACATGTACATACACCACACCTTTAGAAAGCTATATATGATTCGATTGTTTAGTTATAAAAAACTATAATTTTTGTGGAAATTACAATCAATCAAGCGAGCAATGCAGAAAAAAACTCACTTCTTATAAATAATTAAGATGATTAAGATTCAGGAAGAGTTTATTTAGAAAAAAGTATGGATAAAAATATAGACAATTATATGAAAAAAAAGAATTAAAAAATGATTTAAATATGATTTATGTTAGTAACGAGAAAAAATAACATAAAGATAGACGCTCTAAAAAATGCATTACCATAATGGAATTTTAAGTAAAATGTTTTACTTTTTGTTTGCGAACAATTTATATAATATATATATATTTATATTTGTGTTGATATAATGTATCAGTGTCATTCTTGAGATATTGTTAATGTCTTCATCTGCACTGCTTTCCTACTATTTTATGTTTATTATTAGACATGTAGGGGAAACCGGGGCACCATGAGCCACGGGGTACTATGGGTCATTGACTGTTTAGGGTAATCCAGAATGTTCAGGTCAATTCAACTATAGTGTCATGTGACAGTTATTTCGTTGCTCATACTTCGTATCTAGGTGGCAGTCATCAAAGTCGCCGTAGTCTCGAGACGCACGTGACATAAATGGTTTTCGTGATGCGTAAATAATTTTTTAACTGTTTAGAAATGTTTTAATATTGTTTTTGTAGTAAAATATACACGCACTAAAAATTAGGTGTAACTTTCTAGCATATTTTGTCATTTTACTATACTACAGATAATCATATATTATTTATTTTTTTTTATTACGTTTCACCGTTTTCTATATTAAGTGCATTTGGTCCAGCATGGGACATTCGGGAAGAATGTTATTTCCGGGGCTCCTCAATTTGAAAGGTGTATTTGATAGATCTTTCGCTGAGAAAAAAGGCTGCATTCAGCGGACTCAACAGTTGAGACATCTGCTTTTGATGGATCAAACTCCGCTGTGAATTCTCCACTGAATAATCCGCTCGCGAAATCGCTACTTACAAAGATGGCTGCGTCCAGACCAGTATTATTTTGTAAACAAAAGCGAATACATTAAGTTTGCCAGTTCAGTGTTCAGTTGTGCAAATTATAAAACTTGTAGTGTGTATATATATATATATATATATATATATATTTTTTTTTTTTGACAAAATGGAATTAATGGCAATATTAATACCGTTATTTATGGATGACAGAATACCTATACACAATTTTAAAAATATCATACAAAATTTAAAAGAACCCAGTAACTATATAAACTTTATGGCCAGTTTACAATGAGTCGTTAGTCGTTAGTCAGATGTCGGAAGAGAGTCAAAAAAAGTCATAAACGTGTCATAAGGCGATCGGAAGTCTGTAATCGGCAATCATAAGCGATTGGCCAAATGCCATCTCTTACGATCTCCGATTACAGGCCTTCGATTGGTTACAATACGCTTATAACTATTTCTTCCGACATCTGACTAACGACTAATGACTCATTGTAGACTGGCCATTAGACATCGTGCCCCAATAAAACGTCGTAATCTATACTATTATGAAAGAATAATTCCGAGGTTTACGCACGATCAATTCAAGGAAATGTTCAGGATGGATAGAGCAACTTGTGAAGTAAGTGAGTGTATAAATGAAATTATTAACAAAATTAGTTAATGCGTAAACAATTTAGTATTATATGAGTTTACATCCATGCTCTTAAGTTTGTACAGGATAATGTATGTAAGTACATATTTTATATCAGTGGTTTATCAATTGTTATATATCTTGTTTATTTAATTACAGAACTTATCAATTGTTATTGGACAACATCTTGTACAACATACAGATGAATATGCGCCACTCCGAAAGAAAGTGTTATTTACAATATGGTTATTAAGCAGACCAGTAACTTTTCTAGCAGCAGGAGATAGATTTAATATACCAACAAGTTCAGGTCATAATATTTTTAAAGAAATTGTTGGTGTACTTGTCGACTTGATGCCACAGTACATACAATAGCCAAATGGTGTTTATAAAAACATGTGTATGGATGTAAGTATAAAATTATTATATATTAAAACTATTTGCAGAGAACAAGAAATCTGATCTGAATATTTTTGAGCATTTAATCAATGTTTTTCTTTAATTAATGCTTTTTTTTATCTTGTAGGTATTCGAGCAGAGATCAAATGGATTTCCGGGAGTCATAGGAGCAATTGATTGTTGTCACATTCCCTGCAAACAACCAAAAGACAATGCTCATGACTACTACAACAGAAAATGATTTTATTCAATTATACTACAAGGTACTACGTTTACCAAATGTATAAAATCTATTAACACATTTATTTAGAGAATCAGTTTTTATTGAATTAACTACTTTTTATTACAAGCATTTGTGATCATCATACAAAGTTTATTGATTGCTTTATTGGTCTACCTGGAAGAATGCATAATGCACGCGTATTTAGAAATAGTCCAATCTATCAACGCATCATAAATGAAAGAAATCCATTATTGCTACCTGAAGAACACATAATTGGTGATTCTGCGTACCCACTAATGATGAATTTGATGACACCGTTTAGAGACACAGGACATTTATCTGTAGCTCAATCACGATACAATACCAAACTCAGTTCAATTTGATTAGTAATTGAGCGAGCATTTGGACTTTTAAAAACAAAATTTTGACGATTAAAATATTTGGATATTAAGGATATTGATCTGGGAAAACAAATAATTGCTGCAGCCTGTGTATTGCACAATTTTATTTAAAACAAAATGGATGAATATGATATCAATGACGCCATTGAGGAAATACCAAATGAAGAAATTCTAAGCACAGATACAGAAAACGCAAGGTGCCCACAGATGATTGCTATTCAAAAACGCGAACAGATTATGCGTGTGTTATCAGATAATAACTAAAAACTAAAAATGTTACAAACATACCTATATTATACATATATACCTACATATGTTTATATTCTTTAAATTTGTATCAATAAAATATATATTTATTTTTAATAAACAACTCTGTATATTGTACTTTGGTTTCATTTATATGTCTATATGTCTATAGATTGGACTTTGGTATTGTACTTTGGTTTTATCCATATAAAGGAAAAATGGGGATAATACTTTCATGGAATATGGTTTGCGCCTTAATACCGTACCCTTTTTGCCTTCTTCATCTGAAGATGGACTTGCTGGACTTTTTAATGGCTGTGAATCATCCGGATTTGAACAATTTTTAACATTATTGAATCATAAGAATCATACGCAGATTTTGAATCTATCGAAGACTGTCTTGAGTCTGTTGAGGGTAATATAGAGCATCTTGAGAGTGATCTCTGATCTCTTGAAGGCAGTGTGGAATTTTCCGAAGGCGTAAAAGATTTTTTAAAAGAAGCAGTTGAATCTTTTGATAAGGAATTACAATCATAGTGCGGTTTTGTCAAATCTCTTGATGGTACACTGATCAAATCATAATTATCAGACGATACTGAATCCCGTTGTTTAGGTGTTTGTTCTGAGTTCTGATAGAAAAAGTTAATAAAATTAGTTTATTTTTTTTATTTTTCTATATAAATATTATACAGTTTCTTAGATTTCTTATACGAATTTTGGAACAATTCTCAAAAAAAGAATAAAATTATTTGTACAAATATGACAAAAATCTATGCAAGTTTTGATATATAATATAAATTCTAAAAAAATCTTGAGATTTCTCTTTTTTTTATAAAAACTTATGTACAACTAAATAAATTTCAATTTTACCTCAAAACTTTTCCTAAGTTCAAAATATGAAAAACTGAGAAAATTCTGAGAACTTCAACTCGCACAAAAAATCTTAGAATATTTTGCATCAGAAAAGTGTCTTCTATATTCATATATTTTCTTACTGGCTGAAATATACATTGCATAGATGACAATGTTGGTCCGATATTCATTGTTTTATCATCAAAGAATATGTTTTCAAATGTTTCAAAAAACTCCCAGGTTATTCTTCCTCGGCTACTTGATTTTTGATTGTCTTTGATTGTTCGGTATGTTTTTTTCATATTCCTCATTTTTCTATCCAAAATATCTACTGTCACATTATAATTGTGTTTTCTAAATTCGTTCACCATTTCAGTCTACAAGGATTTTTTTTTTACTTTGGGATCTCTAAATTTTTCTTTGCGTTCTTGGTATAAATGCAATAAGAGTTTTGTATTTTGGTTGTTCCAGTAAAAATTTTCTTTGTTAGCATCTGCAAATAAAAGAACAATAAGTATTTTAGTAGTTATTTTAATCATTTATTTAAAAAAAAACATGTATTGTAAAGAGTTAAAACATTTAGCATTAATATAATGAAAAATTAAGTGGCTGAAGGGTCAAAGCATATAACATGGTGTAGCCATATACGACAGTCATAGACGTAAGTAAAGCACAAACTTTGGTATATTCTCTGACAGTCAGAATATTCCAAAGCTTGTGCGCTACTTACGTCTACGATTATGACTGTTATGTGCTAAATCCTGAAGGAGAATGGAAAAGCTGGGAACATTTCGAAACATTTAAAAATAGTTATATTTCATTATAATAACAGCAAATGATATATTACCTGTTGTTTCATTTTCCGTCGTTGCTACAGCAGTCTCTTCACTGACTTGTGTATCACAATTATTGAAAAAGATCTCCATTAAATTTGGATCTGCAATAAAGCAAATTTAAAAATCAAATACAATTTATAAAATTATATTACCTGCATTTTAAGGCATGTTTCATTATTATTGGCAGTACTGAAAATTAATACGTTCACGTTACGTATACTATAGATTTTTAAGTACAGCCAGTAATAACAGAATAAAAAATTAATATTTTTCCTAATAATTCCAGTATTTCATGCAAATATATTACAAGAAGAGAGGTTAGTTAAAATTATAAGGTTATAAAAAATTATAAATTAGGTATAACTCTTTTATTCTTAACTTACTTGATGCAAGACGGTTATGAAACTCTGCACTTTCTATTACGCGGTAAAATTTATTTTTGTATTCGTATACTTTTTCAATAAAAGTATCTCCTTTTTCACTACAAGTCGCCATGACTTGATGTTGAGCCATGATGTTGATTGGTAACACTTTCCGCTCAGGTAGCGAGGTAGCATAAGTAAAAACCGCTACTAAATATGGCGTCCGCTCCCTCAACTTGTTGGCATGTAGCGACTGAGCGGAACGTCATTCAGCGGAAAATCTAGTAATGTCAATGCCATTTGCCGCAAACCACAATGCGCTACGATGCATAGTTTTCGAGATATCGATTTTTAAATGTAATGATAGCAACATTGGGTAATTGTGTACATGGAGGTGGTCATCCTTGGATGACCTTGAGATATTTTAGAATGTTGTCAAGGTTATCCTCCTAAATGACCTTCAGAAGGTTTCAGCCCGCGCTCGTTGTTTATTCAAAAATTATTAACAAAAAAAGTTGAAAAATGTAGCAGTTATTTTGAGTATTAAAAAGCATAAATGACTAATATATATGTGGAAATAGTACATGTATAAACAAAGGAAAGTCTTTTAAAGCAGTGAATGGAAATTTTAAAGCAGTGGAGAGTCCACGCATGTACTTTGAAGACACACTATGTGTCTAGTTTAACAAAATAGTGGAGCCCCCCGCAGGGGGGCGGAACCTACTGCCTCCACGCATACACTTTTCACACGAGACGAGTTGTC